AATATAATATTATATATATAATATAAAATATAAAATAAATTTTAAGTCTAATCAAAGCGTAAGTGTACTTTTTCATTGTTCAATCATTCAGTATATATGCAATATATGCAATATCATATGCAAGAAATTTCTTATGTATATATATTTTTATAATAATATCTGAAATAATTCAGTGAAACATATATTTTATTCAAAAAATATAAATATTCAAAAATATTTTACAAATTATTTCAATAAAATATTTTATAAAAATAAAATATATTACATGTATTAAAATTCTATTAAAAAGAAAAAATCGAAATATTAATTAACTTTGCAAAAATTGATATATCGGCATTTGAGCATTAACAAATTAAATATATAGAAATTTATTATTTAAATATAGAACAGTTTTAAACTATTTAATTATATATTTTAATCACAATTAAACTTTAATAAAATTATAGACAAAATGTCATGGTACCATTATCATGGGCAATGGCTACATCTTTAGAATACAAACCATCAAATCCAATACATTTCATGGTATATCAATTATTAAAATGGACTTATAATAATATTTCTGAAATAAAAAAGGACAATGTTCAACAATTAATTGCGTTATCCACTATAAAAATGGATCATAAACTTATCGTCAGTATTATTTATAACAATTTTTTATATTTGAAAAATATTTTATCTTATTAAAAATAATTATTTCATAAAAATAATATTTAATATTTATAATATAATATAATATATAGCAAATATAAAATATTAATATTTTTAAAATAGGCAAAAAAACATCTAAAAAAAAAATTAATTGAAAATGAAAAAACTATAGATAATATTCCTTGTGATTTTTGTGAAGATTATCAAAAATTGTATCGAATTAAAAAACAATATTGGAAATGTGTAAAATCATTAAAAAAATTTTAAAGTTCTGATATTTTTATTTTTAAATTCAAAAGAAAATTCCTATTTTTCTAAATTCAAAAATTCAAAAGAAAAATTCCTGTAAAATCAATATATCAAACAAAAAGAATAAAATTTAATTTTTTTATTTGGAATAACTTTGAAATAATCAACATCTAACAGAAACTTATAAAAGATAGATATTTAAAAGACTCTTTAATAAAATTACTTAAAAAACTCGTTTATTTTGTAATTTGTCTTGTACAATTTTTTTCATGTTTATTAATATAATGCAATGTTATTGCATAAACATATTACATGAAACAGAATGGAATGAAATAAGTATTCAATTCATTTCATCACAATACAATACAAAAGATTTCAAATACATTGTGGCAGTGGCTCTACTTACAGTCTTTTTTAAACATATGACATATTAAAATTGTATGAATTTTTGTGTTACATCTTTAGCAATTCTAAAATAAAATTATATATAAAATTTCGATTATATTCACTACTGAGACCTAGATAATCTTAATTATAATACGTATACGTGAGTTTTCATAACATAATGTTCAAATTCATTATAAGATCTTCATTATCCTATATAATACAGTAATTAACAATATATATTTTTTTTCTTACTGAAACTTTCTTTGTTGAGTGTAATTGTGAAACAATTTGTAATTAAAATATATGATAAATAATGTTGTATGTATATCTATGTTATTTTTAAGGAAGCATTGTTCTTTTCATAATTACTAAAAAAGATTTTGTGATTATGAATAAAAGTAAATGAATTTATAAAAACATTCTTTGTATGTTTATTATAAAAACAGTCATTTAGAGTATAAAATCTTTTCTCAACATAGTTTAGCATTTAAAATATGCCTGTACATAAAAATGTTTTCTGCAGATTTAATGATTCAGGTACTACTGTAATGAATCAATGATAAGCTATTTGCATTGCAATAGATTAAAATGAATAATAAACATAAAGGCAGTATTTGTTAAATTGTAGTATCTGTAAAATTTTTTTAATTTTTTGCATTTCTTTATGTGCATGAACTATTTTCATTCTTATTAAAAACAGGAGGAAAAGGAAGAGAAAGGAAAAAAGGAAAAAA